CGTATAATTAGCTGTGCGTTCAGACGTAAGCAAACCAGCCCTTTTGGCGCTTCGGCTGGGACCGTATGCTGAATGTTGGGGAGGGGATGGAGTCCCCGACGGTGGACGGACCACTTCAACTCGGTCCTTAACCGCCACAATTTGGTGCTTACCTCAGAACTAAGCCTTAAAGAGAGGACGGGTCCGTCCCCTCTCCAAGGCTTAGTCCTGGGGTGAGCAAACCAGCCCTTCTGGCGGAGCTGCTGGACCAGCTGCACCACTTGCGTCAGTACTCTCCTATCGTACCAACCGAGTTGAAGTAAACCGTCGACCGTTGGGGACCCCATCCCCTCCCCAACATTCAGCATACGGTCCCAGCCGAAACGCCAAAAGGGCTGGTTTGCTTACCTCGTTCGTTCCACTCGTCTCCATTAGCTGCGACATTGTCGCATGGATGATTGTGCAAGAAACGTTAAGTTTCGTAATTGGCACAACGATCGAGTGGTGTACCCACATTACGGCGTTCATGCCACAGGCTCGATGGTGTAAACACTTGACCAATAGGCCGGGACACAGTCACGCTCTAATTCTGACATGAAAAAGAAGCAACTTAGTGCACCGATCTCTCCTAGCTTTACCGCGGCCTTGAAGATTGCATCTGAATTACTGGAGCAAAAATCAAATAAAGAGCGACTATCGGTGCGAATGGCCTTGATAGCGTGTGGCTGCCGCAGAGAAGACATAAAGAACGCTATCACCTATCCTACACTATTTGGACTAGCCTACAAAGAGACAGGTGAAAACACACATATGACGTAAGCGACCTTCTCAAGGCTCCTCTAGGCAATCAATCGCACAAACGGTACTCTTTGCGCACTGTGCTTTCCTCACTTACTCTTACCGCACTGGGTCAGCGCATAAGCGATCTACTCACTAATTCCTGAAAAATACCGCCTGTCGCTTGTTTCTTGCAAAAGTATTCCATCACAGATCTACGATACGCAGTGGGTCAGAAATTTCTCGGCAACAAAAGAATTCATCTCCGCTGGAACCCAATCTTATCGAAATAATCAGATCAGTTGCTTTGGCTAACAGATTAGGATACTAGCTTTTCTACATATCCTTCCAAACAAATCTAGTCATCCAACTGCTCAAAGAAATGTCATGAGGCTTATAGATACGTTTCGAAAAACGTGGTATATTCAGTCTTATTATGGACAGCTTGCCTTGATTATTATATGATCCGTACGTACATGCGTCTGCATTTTGGATAGGGTAGACAGATCAGCTAATGTGCAGCTACCAATGAGAGCTTTCACTGATACCAACTTAGCTTACCCTCACAATGCGGAACGCCTAGTGGACGCAACAATAGTTGTCCGCTTCAATAGCATTGCTTGCACCAATGTGTATTAGGTTGAATAGAAATACAAATTTCTATAATACATAGCTATGAGTTTATGACGACGTGCAATACTATCTCCAATAGCATCAACGGGAATGTCATTCACCGCTACAGCGTCTCTTACCCATAACAGCATTTTCGATCCTTCGTTATTCCTTTTAGGGGCTTGCAGCGCCTCGTAAATACACTCCGTTGCAAAACTATACGACATACCCCAAATTTTGAGGTTTCTGGAAGTTGCGAAAAACTCAGCACGAAAATGGCTAATGCCATTCGATTCAGCGTGTAAAGAAACCTACAAAGAGAATCTTCAAGCAGTTTATCAACTTCAGGAAATCTAGTTTCAAAAAATCGAAGAACAGCTGCTTGCAAAGTCATACAACATAGCCGAAATTTTACTTTTTGTTACTTCAGTTAAAAAATTTCCGGAATACTTTGCAGTCATAACAGTACGGTGTTGTAGAAAGGTGATCCTCGGATTCACCTTGACACGATCTCACCTCGGGCAGCCGATCTAACATACTTTCTATCAATGCCTATAGGCAGCCTTCTGAATCCGTGCGTAATCTTTGAGTATTCTGCAGGTGATGGACGGGATTGACCGACTGGTCAAGGAGTAAGAGCTACGAGTAAGGATGTTCCACATCCGTGTAGCAGCCTTGTACTGCTGGAAAATGTGCCGATGATGAGATTCTGCGCTGTATACGGTAGCAGGCGATGAATGAGCACTTATTCGGCAGTCCGCCGAGTTCATTCGGTAAATCGTGAAGACAAAGTGCAGCTTGCCACACCAGCTGTAAGTGTGCACATCATTACCAAGCTCATCTTCGAGAAGAAGATGGATTTCTGCTTAAATCATTTTTGTACTAGTGCCATTCAACAGACTGGCTAGGAGAAACATATTTCCGTGGAAAGAACCACCTGTGACATGATACATTGAATAAGTTGTTAGATCTTTAGTGATAAGCCAAGAAGAATAATCTGTCGACAAGTGAAGGATTCAATCGAATACCGGATGGATGTTCTCCAACACACCTGGTCGCAAAAAAGAAGTCTTCGTAGGGCAAAACCGTCGTCATCCGCATAATCTTTCCAGGCAAATACAAGCGGCCTATCCATGTTATTAAGTCAACATTCGCGCTTGCTTGAAGCCATAGCATTGTACTATTTACGTTTTCGAACTGATACACACTTTTAGTCAGGGTCTGCAGAATGCATCAGGATGGTAAACCTATAGGACATTCTTGCTTAGGGGACATTTGTAATTCTCATAAAGCAGTATGCTACATATTACCCGGCAACTGCAGAAACCCGCCCTACTCAAATAGCATATACGCACGGTTCTAGGAGGAGCCCTATGAAAATTGGTAGAAAACATGGTAGGTCGGCGATTCAAGGTGAGATAGTCTTACGACGAATCCTGAGACTACCTATCTACACCACCGTACTATTATGACTTAAGATATTCTAGAAATTCTATTCAGCTTTAGAGTAAAAAATTAGTTAGAGATTTCTGCTATGGTCGACATAATTTTGTAAAACAGCGCATTATTTTGGCACTAGATATCTGAAGATTGTTTAAAATGCATTGATATTCTCTTGCATAGGTTCCTTTACACCGCTGACCGGATGGAATGGCATAAGCAATTTTGCAGCAATAGTCTTCTCGCAACTCGAGAAACCCAAAATTGGGGCTATCTCGTATAGTTTTCCAACGGAGTGTATGTCATGAAAGCTCTACTGCAAATTCTTCGATATGGAAATTACTGTGAAGGTAGAGTCTACGCTGCTGAACTGCAGAAGTTGGCCGAGACAGTCCGCCGAAGGCGTTCGTACCCCGATAATGTTTATTTCTTTCATGAAACTACGAATCACCATGTTCTAAAATGAGCCCGTCAAGAAATTCTGGAGTCGCCACAAGATTTAATACCTCACCTTAAGCGTTTTCCCTGGTAAAGCCTAAATCGGGATAACACTTCCCCTACGATAATCGTTTTATCGCGACTATTCGCGATTTTTCAGATTTTTCTAGCTCTTTCCCACTACCGTAGCAAAACATTGAAGCTCTTATCAAGCTTAGAAAAGTGGGCGGGAATGAGAATGGAATGTGCTTAGGAAACGATATATATACTGGTCGATTGGATTCCTTTTTGCTTTTTTGCACTGTGTTCGTCTGAGGCTCAACCATAGCCTCGTTTAATTCTGTTCGTCTGAGGCTCAACCATAGCCTCGTTTAATTCTGTGGTCGTCTGGCCCTGTTGCCACTGTTGATTGTCAAGTGCTGAATTCGCAATAAAGGATTTGGTTATTCCACTGAACCACAAGAGAAGAAGAGAACCTTCGTCATTAAATGGTGCATCGCCAAATACGCTGAAGAAGCCAAGGAATAAGATGAAACCAGCTGATGAATTACATACGTCTTCGCCGAAATTTACGACGCCATCCCACCGTTGCCCGACGCTGACGCGCTCTACAATAAGATCCTGCATGGCAGCGTGCAACTTCGCATCATGACACGGTCGATGAGTGATCTGTTTGGTCGTATCAACTCACTACGCAAATCTGAAGAGAGTCCTAAAGACCGAATACTTCAGTGGCACATCATCGAGGCCATCTGGGACAAAACGCATATAGCATTTAGTCTTTTGCGCTCTGAAATGCGTACGCTCTTCGCTGTAGTTCCACTCCTCATTGCTTGCGATATAGTTTCCGAGAGTGAATGGGATTCGATGATGCGTAGACCCCAATGGGACGATAAGGGGAAATCGCTTCTCCTCGAACATGGTCTGATTGAAAACGTTATCACAGATCAGTTCGACTTACTAGAAGAGTACCGTTTGATGCTCGTAGAACTACGTCAAAAGATAACCGAATGAAAGAAAATCGTGACACAAAATGCTTTCAAGAAGCGCTCAATTCTACTCTCTCGCATATCAAGGAACAGCTCGATAAAGTCGCTCTTTCCACCAAAGCACGAGAAATTGACGAACTAAAAATACTACTTCAAACAGAAGTATCCAGACACTTATGGGACTCTGATTGAAGTAGTTCAGGACGCTATCGCAAACGTGGCGCGTTCACCCCACGCTGAGGGTGACTCATCATCTCGCGCTAGTGGCGAGGGCGAGGGCATCGAGATGCTCGATCAAGCGCTAAGTTCCGCTAGTGACGAAGAAGGACGCGCTATGATCGAGGAGGCGAACATCATAGAGCGCAACACTGAGTTCATGGAAGGTGTCGAGATGGGCGACGATGTTGACAGCGTGCTAAGATCGCAATGGCAGCAGAGAAGGGCCATAGAAAAAGAGATTCAAGAAAAATACGCCAACATCGACGATCTCGAAGCCCT